GTGAGTAAGCAAGTATGTATGTATGTAAGCCTCTTAGTAAGTAAGTATGCGAGTGTGTAAGTAAGTAAAGCAGGAAAGAAGGAAGGAAGGAAGGAAGGAAGGAAGGAAGGAAGGAAGGAAGGACGTTAAGGAGAAAGTCCATATATCTATCTATCTGTCTATCTATCTATCTATATATCTATCTATCTATCTATCTATATACACACACATCATATCTATGTGAATACATATATACACGTACGAACATGCATATAGCCAATGTCGAGAGCCATGAACATACACATGCACATGCATACGCACAGCAAACGACTGACACGTGTGTGTGTATGTATGTATGTATACATGTATATCTATATATTTATATATAGACAGATATTGCTAGATATAGATAGCTGTACGTATGGATGCAAGAGGTGAGCTCCAATTACTGTCATGTGCTGCTGCTGCTGCTGCTGCTGCTGCCGCTGCTGCTGTTGCTGCTGCTGATCGTGGTCGTGGTCGTGGTCGTGGTCGTGGTCGTGGTCGTGGTCGTGGTCGTGGTCGTGGTCGTGGTGGTGGTGGTGGTGGTGGTGGTGGTGGTGGTGGGGTGGTGGTGGTGCTGCTGGTCGTGGTATCGTCGTTGTTGTTGGCATTGCCAGCGCTGCCTCTACTCTCATTAACCCTTAGGGTCTATTGAGTCTGTTTACCAAATAGCATATACTTTGGCCTGAAAGTAGTCCCTATATATAGTAGCTTAGGGCCAGGGTGTATACTATGCTGGTGCATGGACCTCAGGGTAAACTAATACTCACCTCATTGGAGTTCCATCAAGAGCGCCCACCTACACCGCCACATACTTCAACATCATCAAGCAAACCATCACGCCGAAATACCGACAATCACATGTTCCCGAAAGCACCACGTGAGAAATCGTCGACGGCAGCACCGTCGTTGAGTTGGTCATGGCCACAACAGCAAAATGCTCCACACACACACACACAAAAACACAAACACACAAACACAAACGCAAACACAACCACAAGCACAAACACAAACGCAAACGCAAGCACACGCACACACACAAACAAACACAAACACAAACACAAACACAAACACAAACACAAACACAAAAAAACACAAACACAAACACAAACACAAATACAAACACAACACAAACACAAACACACACACACACATACATACACATACACATACGCACACACAGAGAGAGACAGAGACAAACACAGAAGCACACACATGCGCGCACGCACACAGAGACTTACTTCATGAGAAGGACCACCCTGGCATCGAACATACTGAATACTGTTGTCACCATTCTTGGTGACGTTCCCGTTAAGCCAGAAACCCTAAACCCTAAAAAGATCCTCCAATTCTTTGCAGCGGTCTTCGTGGCTGAGAACTTGCTCTTGCAGTTTCGCAGCTTTCTCCTGGCGTCGGGAGTGCTCCACACGAGCAATAACGAGGGCCTCTGCCATTTCACGATCAGCTGTCTTCAAAGTGCAACAAGAAGTATGGCAGGTTCCTTAGGCCCTGATCCTGATGTAAACTGCGAGAACCGATAATGCCCCCATGGCCCAAATGCAAAAGGCAAAACGCCGAAACCCACTCTCCTCGGACTCCTCCAGAAGTGTTTGCAGCTGGCCGTTGTCCTCGACCACCCTCTGCAAAGCTGTCCGGGCTTCTTCCACATCGCGGGACTTCGCCTCTAAGTGCTCTTCCAACTCCCCCTGGCAGCGCTGAGCCGTCTGCGCGGTCTGGGTCACGTGGCCTTGCGCTTCCTCGAGCTCAAGCGCCATTTGCTTCGAAGATGCCTGTGCATGCTCCAGCTGCTGCTCTTGAGCACGAAGTTGCTGCTGAAGCTGTTCTTTGCGCTCTTGCTGCTGATGCTGCTCCATCTCCAAAGCACAGGCTTTGCTCTTTGCCTTCTCAAGCTGCGACTGCAGCTCCTCCTTCTCCTGCTGCAAGCGTCGCACTTCGAGAGAGGCGGAGTCCAGTTCCTTGCGATTCGCTTGGAGTTGCCGCTGATGCTGCTTGCTGTCTGCCTGCATCTGCTGCGCCCCAACCTTGGCTGTTCTCGCTTGTTGCTAGTAGGTGGTGGCGCAACGGTTCTGGTGGTACAGACACTATCTCACTTTTGGTACTGACCATGGTAGCATTTATTCGCCGGACAGAGGATGAAAAAAACAAAAAAAAAAACAGTCGCGGCAGGTTGCCAAGGTCGAGTGGGCATCACCTTCTCAGGCCTGCTGGTAATTAAAATAATCTGGATGAGTCTGCAGCAAATGAAGAAAGTAGCACAAGCAACCCGAACTAAGCAAACAACATGCACGCTCCTGGATGCACCACCGGACAAGTGACAGCTAAACGAAAAAGTACACCTGTGTAATGTTTGCAAACGCGGGCAATTCTACATCTGCCTGTGTCGACATGCACATGAAAATACAGCGGCATGTTAAAGCAGGCCTGCAAAGGAAGCACTGTATGTGTACCCACATAATCAGGTGTGAGTATGCAGTGTAGAGAAAAGCATAACTACTTGCAAGCACATGCAATACACAGAGAGACACACATAGAGTAATTTAAACACACACACACACATGCACAGATGCACACCTATATATGATGCAGGGCTGCCACACCCCTGTGGGGCGGGCCTGTGGTGGTACCCTTTCCCCCGCCCCTGTGGTTTCGTTGTTGTGGTGAGTCGACAATCGGGTCATTTTTGACATCATGCTGAACATCATCATTGTCGTCGTCATCTTCATCATCAGTACCATCAAGTACAATCAAAAGAACAGCTGCCGCCATCACCATCGCCATACAACCCTCATAATTAAGCATTGTACTTCATGTCTGATGCGGGAAATCTACTGCGCAGATTGCTGCTTTCTGCA